AATTGAGAGCTCTATCATTTTGTGATTGCTCTGCTCAAGACAGCTCCTAACAACCACATCTACTGTCAGTCCTCTGTTTGGGAACAGTAGGTATAGAGGGCATCCCCCCTTGTAGGCTTTCATACCAGCTGTGTCAGTAGGTTAGCTTCCACACACTCAAGCAACTTGCTTGACTGCTTTCTCTATACTGTACTGTTTTCCCAGCATGTATCAGGGAAGCTGGAAGTTCTCTATAAGAACAAAGGCTGGCAAATGCATGACTTCCGCCAGTTGTTCATAGAATGTCTCGCCCGTCTCTTCATGCTGGTTAGGTAGTCTATAACAGGCTCCCACCAGGATGTCAGAGTTGCTGGCCTTTTCCAATCCTTATCCATAGAGACTTGGCCTTATAATCCCCAGCCTCAAACTCTACAACACTGAAACACTCTCTAAAGTAGCAAGCCAAGCCATTGTCCTTCCTTCTTTCCCTATCCCTTGTAAGGAGCTTGTAGTCATCCATTGCAGCACTCCAGTCATGGGAGTGATCTTACCGTGCTTCAGTAATGACAATTAAGTCATAGTTTGCCTGCCACACAACAGCTTCCAAGTTCTGCTTATTGCCCATGCTGCAAGCAGTGGTGTAGATGCACTTCAGCTGAGCAGCTGGCCTCACCTCCCAGCCCTGCCATTCTTCCCCTATGCTCATCTCCAGCAAACCTGGTTTTATCCCCTTGCCCATTGATATCTAATTTAAAGCTCTCCCAAGGAGCCCTGCCAGCTCCTGGGCTAGGAGCTGTTTCCCCCTTTGAGACAGTTGGGACCTATCTGCAGCCATAAGAACAGGTGCCAAGTAAACTGCTCCATGGTTCAAAAAGCCAAAATTCCTGTGATGGCACCAGCCGCATAGCCACATATTTACTAGCTGAGTTTTCCTGGTCCATTCAGTATCCCTCCCTGGCACTGAAAGGACAGAGGAAAATACCATCTCTGTTCTGCTCTGTCAGCTAGCTACCGCAATCCTGATGAAGTCCCTTTTGATAGCGCTCATGCTTCTTCAGCAACTTCACTGCTGCCAGACTGAACTACCAGCAAAGGATAACAATCATAGGGGTGAATCAGGCCAGGAAGTTTTCACTTAACTGCAAATACAGGAGTCCAATTTTCAGGACACATCTCTGAAACCAATAGCACACGTGTCCAAAATGCATTCTTATTAAAGAGACATACTACATATGTTTAAGGAGACCATTTGCAGGACCACTGATTAAAAACACAATACTCCAACACTTAAATATGCTCAAGTAGAGGAGAAATACTGATGTAAGAGAGTTAACCATCACACTCGTACAGCAAAAGGTAAAACTTCTGCAAGGGTAGAATTACCACTTTGCTTGCTCATGTGAATACTCAAGCTCGTAAAGTAAAGGCAGAGAGAGGGAGAGGAAGGGGTAGGAAGATAGAAGACTTGTTGAGTTCCCTTGGATAAGTTAGTCCTGCAGTTACTAAGAAGATAAGAAAAGGATGCTGCAAAAAATGTCTGACAGTTCCAGCGACCCAAGAGCAAGTGAAATGAACTGTTCACCTTAATTACATCTTGAGGGGACCTGGCTGCTTTTTTGGACAGAAATGGATTCAATTATCCAGGAGAAAAAAAAAAAAAAGGGCATGCCAACATTTTAAAAGGGGACAGAAACACAAAGCTCGCACATGCTTGGAAGTCTTCTGCTTCCCCTGGTTTCTATTAAATTTTATGAGCTTCTTTTTTTTCCCCTCTACGCTACCATTATTTCAAAGTGTTTTAATGCAGTTTCAACCAATGAAGAGCCCCAGTGCCCACAAAGTCATACTACACACATATACCACAGGTACTTCATTCAGTTCCCATCCACCAAAACTGCATGGGAATTAAATGTGTATTAAATCCAGTTAATTTCAGAACTTTAATCTTTCTCGCAGTCATGTAAATTGGAAACTCTCTTCAAGATGCCAATACACATGTAACTATTCCACTAGAACAATCTATTTGCTCCAGTACTTCCACTTGCTGCTTTTACAAGTGAAGAATGAAGCCTTCACCAGAGTACTTTCCTCTAGACAATGTCTCCCAAAGTGCATGCAGGGTACCAAGTTTGTAATTTAAATGCATACGTTTTTACCTTCCTGTATTATCGTTTAATATTAGTCTGGTTCAACTCAAATAGTTTTAAAGACAAACATTAAGTAAAGGTACTACTATCATATACAAAATGAAAAAGCAGCAGAAATAAGTTTTCAGGGCAACAATTCTACTTTGCAAAGGAACCTGAACTTCAGCAGGACTGAAGGAAAGCATGTGCTTTTCTAAACTGAGACACTTCACAATATGGGAAGGGAAATGTTACTGAATGAGGTGGGTGCCCTGGAAGTCACTAAGAAGGTGAAGTTACTGCACACCTTCTTTGCTACAGCCTTCACTGCTAAGATTACCTCTCGGGCATAACAGACCCTGGAGGTAAGAGAGAGTGTCTGGAGAAAGGAAGACTTTCCCTTGTTCAAGGAGGGTCTGGTAAGAGATCATCCTCAACGCATGCAAATCCATGGGCCCCAATGAGATACACTCACATCTACTGAGGGAGCTGGCAGAGGTGACTGCCAAACCACTTTCTATCACCTATGAAAAGTCGCGGAGAAATGAAAGGTGCCTGAGGACTGGACGAAAGCCAGAATCACTCCAGTGTTCAGAAAGGACAAGAAGGATGAGCAGGGAAATCGCAAGCCTATCAGTCTCACCTCTGTACCATGGAAGGTAATGGAGCAACTTATTCTGGATGCCATCTCCAAGCAAGTGGAAAAAAAAAGGTTACCAGCAGTAATCAGCACAGATACAGCATGGGGAAATCATGCTCAACCAAGTTGGTAGTTTTCTATGATGTCACAACCAACTAGGTAGATGAGGGGAAAGCAGTGGATGCTTTGTACCTTGACTTCAGTAAGGCTTTTGACACTGTCTCCCCTAACTTTCTCATAACTAAGCTTAAGGAATGTGGGACAGATGAGTGGACAGTGAGGTGGATTGAGAACCATCTGACAGACATAGCAGAAAGTGTCGTGATCAGTTGTAGACTAGTTGGAGGCATGTAACTAGCAGTGTTCCCCAACGGTCAGTACTAGGTTCCACTTCGTTTAAAATCTTCATCAATTACCTGAATGAAGGGACAGAACAAGTTTGCTGATGGTGCAAAACTGGGAGGAGTGGCTGACACAACAGAAGCCTGTGCTGCTATTTAGCAAGACCTGGATGGACTGGAGAGCTGAGCAGAGAGGAAGCTTATGAGGTTCAACAAGAACAAACGCAGAGTCGCCTGGGGAGGGATAACACATCCACACAGTTCTACAGGAGGTTAGGATCTATACAGGCTAGGGACTAGAAAGAAGCTCTGTTGAGAAGGATTTGCATGTTCTGGTGAACAATAGGTTGACCACAAGCTTAGCAGTGTGCCCTTGTGGCCACAGTATCTTGGGGTACATTAAGAATGTGGCCATCAGGTCAAGGGACATTATCCATTCCCTCTACCCTGCCTGGTGAGGAGTGTATCTGGAGTAGTCTGTCTAGTTCTGGGCTCCTCAGTTCAAGAAAGACAGGGAATTGCTGGAAAGAGTCCAGCAGAAGGTCACAAAGATGATTAGGGGCCTTGAGCACCTCCCTTACGAGGAAAGGCTTGGGACTTTTCAGCCTGGAGAAGACTGAGTGGGAATCTCATCAACGCCTATTAAAATCTAAAGCACGGGAGTCCAATGGATGAGGTCAAACTGTTTTCAGTGGTGCCAAGTGACAGAACAAGGGACAGTGGGCACAAACTGGTATGCAGAAAGTTCCATCTAAACATGAGAAACAACTTCTGAACTGTGGTGACAGAGCATTGGAACAAGCTGCCCACAAAGGCTGTGTCCTTCTCAGGAGATATTCAAAACCCACCTGGATTCTTTTTTGTGTGACCAGCTGTAGGGAACCTGCTTTAGCAGGGGGGTTGGAGTAGATGATTTCCAAAGTTCTCTTCCAACTCCTACAATTGTGATTTTGTGAAAGAAAGTTTTTCCCTTGGAAAAAGGCTGTACAATGCTTTCCAGCTAATGCAAGCTATGCATACTGCTCAAGTGCATGCTTTCAGCTTGGCCATCCTAATCTTTTGCAGCTAGTGAGGAGGAGACACGTTACGGACAGACACGAGCTTAAATGAGTTAAAACCCAAGACACAGCAGGACACGAGGAGCCAAAGTCAGCTCTTTATCTTCAGGACACCGGGGTAGCTGCCACAGACCAAAGAGCTGAAAACCCACCGACTTTACAGTGTCTACTTCAGGAACTGGCAGCAAAGATGCAACTAACCTTGTGACACCAACACCAACTCACAACAAAGCCACAAGGCTGGTCTCAGATGCTGCAAGCACAGTCAAAGAGCATATATTAGCCAGATGCAGTATGTTCTTGGTACAGAACAGCAGCTATCTTGATAAATTCACACATGGCTCTCCCAGAGCTTGGCTACGCGCTTCCTGGCATCCACAGAGCATCAGCACTCAGAGCTGTATCCAGACTCTGCCCTGTAAATCCTCACTGGGGCCATTCTGTGAACATGCCTTGACCTGGAACAGTCTCACAGCAAACACATCAAGTCCACTTTAAACACATTTATTCTAGTTAATCACTGAAGGATAATTGAGATTTGATAATGATTAGGGAATACAACCCCCAGGGGGCAGCCAAAAACACTAAACAAGCTGGAAGGAGCAAGTTTTCAACTTCTAGACTTGGGACAAAAGAGATCTGCTCCCAGCTTTTTCCCTCTTCATAGCACTTACAATTTTAGTCACACTGCGTGCCCATACAGCCTTGAAATCACCTGTCTTCTATTAATTTCATATTCATCCTATCAGAATGGAATTCAACAGACAGTTCAGCCTATTGAGTGCTTTTTTGCTACACAAGATACACAGATCACCATTTTAGGCTAAATGCCTGCAGTTTTGAGGTATACACTTACTGTTTACAATGTCACCCTGCAGCTGAAGGATTTGTGGAACAGGCATAGTGAGAATGACTACATCAAACAGTTCCGGTGATCCCATTTTGCTGGAGACTTCCCACTTCCCATCTCGCAGAGAGATATGAGTTACGTGGCGTTCATAGCAGACATCTGCATCTGGTTTGAAAAAATTAAATACATATAGCTGAATGCCATGTAGAAAATGCACAGTAGTTCCTCTTAGTAACTGGATGGCTTACTAACTGCCAAGCACACAAACCATCTGCGCGCAAAATCTCACAAATCAGGTTGCATTGGTTTAACAGTCAGGATATTACACTACAAACCTGCTTTAACAGAGGGTCCCTTCCAACCCTTATGGTTCCATGATCCTCATCACCTGGAAAGTTCCTATCAGCCCTGCTCTAGGGCTGGCACTCCTCTGAGTCCTTACTAACGTGATTCATCTCCATAAGTGGATAGGAAACAGCCAGGTTGATTTCCTGCAACTTCAGTGGGCCGAACCTGCTCAGGATGGAACCAAGTGGGCATGGGACACAGGGCAAGGTCCTGCAGACCTTCTATTCATAGGCATTTTTCACATCTGAAGTCAGCAAAGCGCCTGCAGGGCGGGAAATGTCCAATGCTCACCGTTCTGTTTACGCCTTTCAGTAACTCCAAGATCCATAAAAACAAACAAATGACTACCTTCCACATTTAAGTCACCAGTTAGACCATTCGGGAACGCAGCAATTAAAAGGCTTAATTTCACACAAAGGCGTTTAACCATTACCGGACTGCAGCAAGTAATACTTGACAACGGAGGAGATGCCCTGAGGCGCCACGTAGTCACAGCTGCCCTCTTTCTCCGCCAATCCCTCAATGCGCGCAGACAGCGGCTCCAGGATGCCACGAGACAGGAGCTCCTCGTAGAAACTTGACAGGAGAAAAGCAGAGGGATGCAGACGCGCCGGTGAAACCCACCACCAGCTCATTCCCTTAGCCCGGCCCGGAGAGGCCGGCACGGCCTCAGGCGCGCGGCCGCCGCCCGCGCGCGCCCCCGCTCACCTGCCGCGCGACTCCGCGCGCCGGCTGACGTACTGCGCGCCCAGGTCGGCAGTGCAGGAGGCGTCCCGCGCGCTGCGGCTCGTGCTCATGCGGCCCCCTGCGGCGGACAGGCGGACAGTCGCTCAGCGCTCTCTCTCCCCGCTCCCCGCCCGGCAAGTCCCTCGCAAGCCCACCTGCGCCGCGCGCCTTGTCCCACACGCAGAGCCGTTCCCACGTCGCCCCCCGCAGCAGCGCCGCGCAGGCACCTCCCGTCAGCCCCGCACCCACCACCAGCACCCGCGCCATCGTCGCGGGGCGGGGCCGCGCTGAGCCACGCCTCGTGCGCGCTGTGGAGGGCGGCTGGCCGCCGTGTGGTTGGGCGGAGCTGCTTTCCTGTGCGCGTGAGAGTACGGGTATTTATATAGAGTTATTTTAATAGTCCTTTCTGGTCAGTCCCTTGTGTCTGTCTGCTGTAAAATATTAGTGCTATTTTCACTGAATCACAGAATTGGAGAATCGATCACCAAGGTTGGAAACGACCTTCAAGATCACCCATCCAACCACCCACCTATCACCAGTAGTTCTCACTAAACCATGTCCCTCAACACAAAACCCAGGCATTCCTTAAACACTTTCAGGGTCTCTAACTCCACCACCTCCCTGGGCAGCCCATTCCAGTGCCTGACCACTCTTTCAGAGAAGCAGTATTTCCTAACGTCCCCATTTTGTTGGGTGTTTTTTAACCCCATCATAAAATGCTAGGTGTACAAGTGGCCTCAAAATACTGCATCTGCAGGGAGAAACTTCCGGAGCTGAGGATTCCGCATCCCAAGCAGGCTCATTCCAGGGATCCTAGCTCAGACTAGCTCAAATCTCATTCTGCAGACCACATGCCATTGGAGCTCAGGCTGCAGGAGAAAGTCTCCTGTGAAACATCTGGAGGGGTATGGGTAGGTCAAAATGTAGTGATAGTCGAATTATCGAAAGGTCACAGTTGTTTATCCAGCAGTGCCTGGTAAAGTACAGACGGCAGCCTTAATGTTTGGATAATCACAGAATCACTGAACGGTTTGGGTTGGAAAGGACCTTAAAGCCCATCCAGTTCCAACCCCCCCTGCTGTGGGCAGGGTTGCCACCCACTAAACCATGTTGCCCGAGGCCCCATCCTACCTGGCCTTCAGCACCTCCAGAGATGGGCATCCACAGCTTCTCTGGACAGCCTGTGCCAGTGCTTCACCACTCTCTGAGTAAAGACTTTCTTCCTAGCATATATTCTAAACCTGCCCTCTTTTAGTTTTAACTCCTTCCTTCTTGTCCTATCGCTATCAGACTGTGTAGAAAGTCAGTCTCCCTCCTTTTAAGTATGGGACAGCTGCTTTCTCCCTGGAGCTTTTCTGTCCTCTGGGCTCAACAAGCTCATCTCCCTCAACTTTTCCATGTAGGACAGGCGCTCCAGTCCTCACATCATCTTCACAGCCCTCCTCTGGACCCCTGCAAGAGCTCTGCGTCTTTCTTGTGCAGGGGGCCCCAGGCCTGTGTACAGTACTCCAGATGGAGCCTCACGAGGGCAGAGCAGAGAGGGACAATCACCTGCCTCGCCCTGCTGGCCACACCCCAGCCCTGTTGATGGAGCCTAGGATATAGGTGGCCTTCCAGGCTGTGAGCCCTGCCAAGATGCCCGAGTCTTTCTCCACAGGGCTGCTCTGCTGTTTTTAATGAGTCCTTCTCCCTGTCGGGGATTGCCCCGACCCAACGCTTTGCACTTGGCCTTGTTGAACCTCATTAAATTCATGTGGGCCCACTGTTCAAGCTTGTCCAGGCAATACTAGGATTAGTGGACTATGAATCAAATACTGTCGTTCAAACAAACAGTACAATGCTACAAACAGTAGGGGACAAATACCCGTGGTTGATGCACTAATCCTGTGCAGGAACTGCAGTGTTTCAGGAGATCCATTTTTCTTCTGTCTCTATAGTGTCTATACAAAACATTATCACAAACCACAGCAAAACTGGTGTTTGATCTTCAGGCCAAACATCCTGCTTTTGAAGCAGGATTATCCACTCTGGCCTAATGCCAGGGCAGCTAAAAATTTGTCTACCTATCAAAGCAGATCAGATTGGCTGTAGGGTCAGAACCAGGATTTCTAACAGAGTAGAGCTGACTTATTCCTGTTTGGATGGCAAAATCGTTGCATATAAGATTGCACCGCATCTTTTAATAACCTTTCTAGAGAAAATAATATTTTTTCTTTCTAGAAAAAAAAACGTTTGCATGTTCTTTTTTTTATTTCCAATGAACAATAATTGCTCTTGAGGTCTGCTCATTTTATTACAATGCAGTCCATACTTTCCATCTTTGGTCAAACTATCTTCTTCATTTCATTCAGGTAGATCTTCTGTTATACCATGTAAGAAGTATGAAAGTGCTAACATAATTACTACCCTATCATGATTTAGCTTATTTGTGGCTTGTGGCTTCAGCAGGGACACAAAATTTACTGCTCCTGTATTAAGACCAGTAGAGGACCTTTAAACCTTCCAAGACGGATCGAAGAGATCTAGCAGATCTGTGGAGAGAAATCAGAGCAACACTACATCTCCTGAAATGCATTATGGCTCCAGTGTCTTTAAAATTCAATAAAAATGGTAATTAATCACATGTTGGATGTGTTTATTTCTTTTCGACATCTGAGAAGCCAAAGAGGAATAAATGAGAAACATAAATCCTGAAAAGCAATTAAAAGGACAGTCCAGCAGTCCTGTAATTCTGGTATGTGATTACAAAATCCAAAGGAAGAAAAGGCTTAAGGAACGTACGCACTGCCTACGTCTTTGGGTTTATCTGAGATATTTTGGTAGTAAGACTGAATCATTTATTTTGAGTTGCGTATTTTCTGACTAAAGAGCTTTCTTCAAATTCAGTGTTTACATGGGACAGAACAAGGAGTGCCACAGAAATCGTCTGTAATATTACATAATCTGTGCAATAGATCATACAGGCAGATAGCTGCTGGCAGAAGGTTCTGCCCACATTTGAGTGAATATTATTGTCAATATGAGTAATTCGCAAAGAAGTAAGATCAAGTCTGGTTGTCATTAAGAAAGATATCTTCTACATATACTTATATTGACAGTTGGGGGACAAATTGTGTTAAAATCTGCCTCAGCCACCTCATTAGGTTTGGAGCATTTGCAGCACTTCTTTGCAAGCGTCAGGAAAATGTTTCTTCATTTCAGACTTCCTGCATACCTGGAGAAACACAGCCTGAATTGTTAGGAATGATAATCTCTCCATCCTCCCAATCCATTTGTGATACTATTTAATATTCCATGATGAATTTTGCAAGTCTTTGCACACTTGCTCTGTGAAGTCTTTCAGCAGCCACAGCATCCTTTGGTGAGAAGTTTCATGGAACAGTTCTTGGAAAAGAAACCTGCAAGAACGTGCCCTGTATTTGTTCCTTGACATAATGATGCTCTGCATTTTGTCATCTGTTGCATTCTTTATAAGTCCTGTTGTAAGCCTTTCTTCTCTGAAGAACCGAGTAAGCATGCAGAAGTGAAAACTTAATGAAAGTTATTTATGAAGTGAAGATGCATTCGCTGTGGTTTCCTTTTTTATCACAAGGCCACATTTCTTATCATAAATAATGTATGATTTAATGCTTTTTTTCCTCTAAATATGTTCTGCTCGTGCTGCAGAAACTTTCTATAGAATTGCCATTTGGTGTAATACACTTTCTTCAAGACAGTCTGTCTCCAGAGTATTTCAGTAAATACTTTTGCCTCTTCTAAAAAAAAGAAAGAAAAAAAAAAAGGATTTGTAAATTTTATCAGCTGATCAGATTATCAGCTTATGCAATTGTTTAATTTTCTATCTTTAACAGATTCCTTAAGCATCTTTCAGTAGCACAAAATCTAGCTCAAATTAATCCTGTTTAAACACATTAATTTATTTTTTTTAATCCTCTTTCCCGCTTCCCAGAAACAACTTGTCCTTTGCAGCTTTCTGGGTAGGAGCAATTAATACCCCCAAAACTGGGCCACCATTTAGATGAACACTAATAGGACCCCTGATGGCCAGGAGGAGCCTCCAGAAGGTCAATAAAAGTAAAAGCTAAATTCTTCCCCAGCACACAGCTGGGTCTGACAGGGCAGCAGCTCTGCAGGCAGTGCCTCCAGCCTGAGCCCAATGAGTCTTGCCTGCTAGAATATACCTTGGAACAGAAGCAAAAAAAGGAAATCATAGAAATACTTGAAAATTACACAAAGCTTGTCCCAGTTTTGGAACTAGGACGTCTGTAATATGCTGATATTTTTTCAAGGATATGCAATGGTGGAACATTTTGTGCAGAGAAACAACTAATATTTACTAATCATATGTTGATGTGCAGCACCACTGTGGAGTTTATGCATGTTTGCACAAAAGCAGAAGAGATGGGACACAGTATTTTAGAACAACATGGTTAGAAGATCCTTCAGGGATTAACTCAGCTTACTGCTGCAAGAGAAACTATGAATTATGACAGTCATAATACTTCCATCCTGCACTGAGCTCCTCCTGGTGAAACGTGCCATACGTTTCCACCATGGGTGTCAAGACAACCACAGTGATTGCTCCCACAGTATCTGTGGGCATGGGACTGAAATAGAGACTGGGGCAAGAGCTCCTTGGACCTGGTTTTGGGAACAGAGAGTTGTGTGTTTTGTTGTTTGGATGAGCTTGCTGATGTTTGAGGTGGCGATTTTGGTGCCTGTGCTAGTGTTTGTCACTTGCACCTTGTCAGTCATTCTGGAGGAAGGTGACATTAACTGAGCCACAGAAGGACACACGCCTTTGTCCCAACCCACACGGACTGCCACCTCTTTCACCCTGCAATGCCTCTGGCAAAGCAGTGGTCTGATGTCATGTTGAATATCATGTCACATCCCCAAACCCTGCCTGGGTTGTCCTCTAATATTCACAGAATGATCTGGCTTGAAAAAGACCATTTGGACATTGCTCTCAGATATATGATCTGGATTTTAGGTAGTTCCATGTGGAGCCAGGAGTTTGACTTGATGATCCTTGTGGGTTCCTGACAATGCAGAGTAGAAGTCAGAGATCTGCCAGGGAAGACAGAAAAACATGAGTATTGGGACAGGCTCAGCACTGTGTTTCCTTCTAGTATCAGAGGATGATGAGCACATTGCTGTTCAGACAAGAGAATCACACTGCGCACAAACAAATTTCACAGGTAGTATTTCCTCTCCACCTCCACTCATATCTTTTCCTGTCTTTCAGTCCCCAGATTTCAGCTCATTCACCGTGGATTATTCCAGTTTCAAGGGCTTCATTTCTGTGTTTTGTTTTGTTCATTTTTTTAACAGCTATGAACAGAAATTTATAGCTTTCTTATTCAGAAACAGCAAAAAGGTAAAAAAAAAAAAAAAAAAAAAAACAAAGGAAAAAAACAACAACCTCCACCACCAACAAAAGCACAGATCTGTTGGTGCATAGCATAAGAACTTCTCAATCCCCTACTTTTCACCTGTTCCCAAAATAGCAACTCACAACATAAATTTGTGAGGCCACAGTAACCACACTAATCCACTGTGAGGCCAACATATTTCCTGGTATTTTGACCTCCTTATCTGGATGGGGAGCAAAATGCTGCCCTCTGTTTTTGACTGCTCTCCAGAATTTCAGGCTAATTACTGCTAGTGTGGGAAGAAATACATCTTTGCCCTATTTTTGCCATTCTAAATAATTGAAGAGATCAAACTGCAATATGAGCAAAATGGATCATGAGCACATCAACTGAACTTTGAGAGGTTTTGGATGGAAATCCCAGCCCCCATTTGAACAGGTTCTTCATGATCAGGGGGCAGTAAACCTCCAAGCTGTTCTTCTGGGCAGATTTCAGCAAATTTGAGTTTGACATGGCTTTGCAAAAGGCTTTTTTTCTTCACCCCTGCTTCCCAATGGTGACCAGAAGACTTCAGTTATGCATGAAGGGTCCCTGAGCCCCTAGCTCTGTCATGGCAGCCCAGCTCTCAGCAGGTGGTTGGAGCAGGTGACTTTCCACCCTGGATTTTCCTGTGATCCTGTTTCAGAACAAGAAGCAGTAACAAGGCAGATGTGGGATTGCATTCCCCTCTGCCTCCTTGCAACATGGCAGTATTGTATTTCCAGTTTTTCCCATTGGAAATGAAATATAAAATGGTGAACAGAAGTTTCTTTGAGTTCTTATTATTTGCTGAAATAACACAAGTCTGACTGCCCTTTAACTTGAAAGAAGAACCTAAAGTGTATTATTCAGAGGTGCAATCTCAAGTGTGTACGTGATTAGTTCTCATTAGCCTTGGCATTGTGTTGCAAATAGACAGCAAAAGCTTCCAATCCTACATACTGATGTCTAATTTACTGTTATAAACCTTCTATCAGGCAATCTATCGATGGCTTAACTATGATGCTACCTGCATTTCTCAACATATTATTTGAGTACACACCTAATGCCTTCTGGCAATTGATGCTTTGAGACCAGGATCCCAGTCCCACAAGCTACTTGCCTGATGTCAGTTTGAGTTTAGAGCTATACTTTGTTCTTTAAGTATATTTATATGGGTTAAAAGATGAGACATTCAGATGTTGCAAACAGACCTCACAAGTCTTAATTCTACCTGTATTGACGACATTTTTATTATCATTGGACTGCTGGTACTCAGCATTTTCGGAGTTCTGGAAGTTAAGCCACTGGAATGCATGAAGTATTTGGTCAATCTCAGATACATAGTCTGATTTCTGGGTGGTCCAATGTGGAGGCAGGAGTTGGACTCAGTGATCCTTCTGGATCCTTTCCAGCCCGGGATGATCAATTATTCTATGATTCTCCTAAAACCTTCCTCTTTGAACCACAATGCACATGTGTTAATGTGTGTAGAGACTTGCAGGCAGACTCGTGCACAACTCTACAGGAAATCAGTTAGCACATTTAATCAACAGACAGGGCTAGCATGCTATTGGGCTGTGCATTGAATGTGCTTGCCACACCCAATGCTGCTAAGTGCCCTTGCTTGTGAGCAAACTGAGATGGGGAAATGCTATTGTCTGTTTCTTGGAAATCTTTGATCTGGAGTTGCTGTATGTAATCATCCAGCTCTTTAATCAGATTTTCATGCTGAGATTCTCTCCTGAGTCCTTGAGTTGCTGATGAGAACTAGATCTGTTCTGATCACGGGGCAGATCATTAAACATCATTTAGGTACTGCTTCTGTTTCTAAAGTTTCTATCTCCAGTATTTATTACTGAATCCGTGGCAAATTTGCATCCTCTCTTGGAACCTGTTTCATTGCACATGCCCACACACATACCCAAAACACACTGAGAGTTGATGAGTTTGCTCTTCTTCACCTGTGGCCAACAACTCAGCAAAATAAGCCACAAAGGTCTGCCATGGCCATTAGACCACTATTTTTTCAGTTCCCTTATAATAGGATCGCTGAAGTGTTGCCTTTGGAGGCCTCTATTCCAGCATCCCTCAGAAGTAGATATGCACAGTGAATGATTGTTTTGAGAAGCGAACACTGATATCCCATTCAACCACCATCTTGTCTGGTTTTGTGCATATTGCTTTCATGCCCCCAGTAGGTCTCTTCCCCAGGTCCATTAAGGGCTTGCTTTGGGTTAGGCACTGCAGTGGGGAGCAAGGTTAAGGTCCCCTGGACACCCGTCTTTCCCCATGCCATGAACAGCTTGTCTCCTGTGGATCTAACACAGGGTGCTCAGGCAGCAAACTGGTAATACAGGGACAGGTAGGCAGTCTGGGAATGCCATACTGAAAACACCAGGGGTTTGGGTGATCCCTGGCCTCAAGCAACCTGAAACGGCAAATACTGTCCTCATAGTACTCTGAGGCTGCCAGCCAAGGAGGACAATGCCTGCCACCCATCCCAGCCTTGCAACAAAACACAGGGCAGCAGTAGTATGCAGTGAGAGCAGGGTCAAACAAAATCTCTGTGGAATCTGTCATGCCCAGGTTCTTTGAAAGGAAATTCTGTTTTCAGCCCCTACCTTTTGTTCACAGTGCTGTTCAAATGCAGCTCCATCTTAAGTAGGCTTCATGACAGAACATCACATAGCATTTGGAGGATAGGATTGATATATGAATAGATCTATGGAATAGTGGCTGGCTGCCTGATATATTGAGAGACAGAGAGAGAGATGGATGGAGGGAGAGGAGTGGGGAGAGTGAAAGGAAGACAGACAGAAAGTCAGATTTCCAAGATACTAAGAAGATAGATATTTTTTTAGACAACAATGTAGGAATGTTAAATTCAAAAATTGTTATGAAGCATAGCTGAGTTTTTGTCATTTTTGCCAGGAGGTCATGTGGGACACTATTTTATGTGAGTTATCTCCTACTAAAGACCTAGCCAAATGACACAGCCCAGATCATCAAATTATAGAATTGTAGAATCATAGGTTTGTATTGGAAGGAATCTTAAAGGTTACTTAATTTCAACCCCACTGCCATGGGCTGGGTGGTCACCCACTAGATCAGGCTGCACAGGTTCCCATCCAACCTGAAGCTGAACACCTCCAAGGATGGGGCAACCATAGCTTCCCTGGGCAACTTGTTCCAGTGCCTCAGCATCCTCTTAGTAAAGAACTTCTTCCTATTACCTAGCTTAAATCTCCCTTCTACTGAAGCGTTGCTCTTTCACAATCTCTTGGACTTATGGTTTGCAGCTACCTCTTTCCTTTCCTTCCACTTTCTTCCAAGTTGCATATTTCTCTCTTGAAGTCAGCACTATCCCACTCTCACCTTTCCAGGTCCTTGGATGAGGCCTCGTGCCACCCCTCCTTCACCAAAACTCACACCCCAAATTACATGCTCAATTTCTGGAGTAAAAAGTCAGATCAAAATGCCTTTTCATCAAGCTGTGTGTACTGGCAATGCATCAGAGCTGGCAAGGGAGTATTGATTTTGTGGCTGAGGCCACTCTCTATTGGCAAGAGGAAGGATATTCTTTTGTATTACACATCCCCCAGGTTCTTCAGGTCGCTGTGGGAGCTCACCTGTAGCCAAGGGATAACTTATTCTGGCATTGGTAGGAAGCCTGGGGCCAACCAGGCCACAATATGCCCCAGACAATCAATACTTTGAGCCAAGAAAAATAAAAAAAATATTGCCAGGATCTTCTGCACACCCCTCCCCAGCAGTGGCGTGCAAGCACAAACACGGTGCGCCTACCAAGCAAAAGGTGCAGTTAAGTTGTTATACAAGAGTTTATTGCAATTTCCAGTCACAGAGGGCAGACAGAATTTAAACAGTGATTTTTTTAACTCATTGAATTGGTGCAGAATAGGGTGGTAGGAGATATTTTTTAAAAGGGAAGAGGAGAGCAGCACACCTCATCCAAAACTCATGTCACTGAGATTGTGGGAACAAATGGTTCCTTCACCCTAGGCCAACATGTAGTCTCTTCATTAATTTTTATCCATCAGAGTGACAATCTGTCTGTACATGTGCTGTGGGGCATCCTTACCCCAGTGGTGGTCAAAGTGGTTCCAGTCCGGGAAGTGCTCATGGTGGATGATGTTGGTGATACGGAAGAGCAAGCGACTGGTCTCCGGAGGCGGGTTCACCCAGTCCTGCCCACCACTCCACAGTGCAGTTGGCACTGTCATGTTTTCTATCCTGTAGAAGGGCGGGGTGGCCTGGGGGAAATGTGGTAGTTACTCATCGGCTATGACATTAATAATGCCAATAGATACTAATAGGTGTGACGTACTGTGTCTAACATCCTAGAAGACTCTAGCCACATCAGCCACTGGAGTATGCGACCCTCATCCCACACAGCCAGCCTCATCCTCTTCATCCACAAGCTCCTGCCTACCTGGTTGTACTTCTCCTGATTCTTCTCCCCGTAGTCAAACTGCTTGAACTCCCCAGTTTTGGCAGTCTGAAGCAGAAAGTGTTAAGAATCATAATCGTGGAATAATTGAATCATAGAATCATTGAACAGTTTGGATTGGAAAGGACCTTAAAGTCCATCCAGTTCCAACCCCCCTGCTGTGGGCAGGGTTGCCACCCACTAAACCATGTTGCCCTACCTGGCCTTCAGCACCTCCAGAGATGGGCATCCACAGCTTCTCTGGACAGCCTGTGCCAGTGCTTCACCACTCTCTGAGTAAAGACTTTCCTCCTAACATATATTCTAAACCTGCCCTCTTTTAGTTTTAACTTCCTCCTTCTTATCCTATCGCTATCAGACTGTCAGTCTCCCTCCTTTTAAGTATGGGACGGCTGCTTTCTCCCTGGAGCTTTTCTGTCCTCTGGGCTCAACAAGCTCATCTCCCTCAACTTTTCCATGTAGGACAGGCGCTCCAGTCCTCACATCATCTTCACAGCCCTCTTCTGGGCCCACTGCTCAAACTTCTTTGCGTCCCTTAGAATGGCATCCCTTTTTTTCTGCACCATTCATCTTAGTGTCATCATCAAACTTATTAAGGATGCACTCAGTCCCACTGTGTCATTTATGAAGATGTTGAAAAGCAGCAGTCTAAGATGGACCCATCTTCACCACTCTTCACAAACTTCCACCTGGACATAGAGCCATTGACCACAACACTCTGGCTATGACCACTCAAAGAGCTTTTGTTACATTGAATAGTCCAGCCTTCAAATCCATACCTTTGCAATATATAGATAAGAATGTGATGTGGGACTATATGAAAGGCGTTGCAGAAATCCAGGTCCATGACATCACTTGCTCTTCCTTTGTCTACTGGTGCTCTTCCTTTGTCTACTGGTGCTCTTCCTTTGTCTACTGTCACTCCATCACAGAAGTCCACAACACTGGTCAGGTACTATCTGCCCTTGGCAAAGCCATGCTAGCTGTCTCAGATCATGTCTTCACCTTGCATGTGCTTTAAGAACTCAGGTAACAAACACTGTGGATCAAGCACACTGGAGCAAAGAGAGCATCCCAAAAATACCTCCATAGGGTGCTTACCCAGGACTGTACCAGACTTCTTCACTATTATCTACTACTCTTTGGTGTAGTAATATCAAATTACTTTTGTTAACTTTACACACTATTTCCTTATCTGCTTCTAGGGTGAACGAAGCAACATTTTAAAATACCATATTCACAGATCAAAAGACATTTGCTATAGTAATTATAAAATCAGAGTAACTACCTGTCCCCAGTGGAGAAGGGTTTTTACTGATGTATAGTCTGGAAAATGAGCAAGGTATACATCCAGTCGACTCTGAAGAAAAGGAAGTATTTTCAAAGTGATTTCAGAATGATGAAAATCATCATCATAATAAAATCTGTCTTGTAACTGCTATGTGATTTTTACATGTGAAAGTATCTCTACTCTATTCAGAGATGAGTAGCTGCTTTTAAATATATGTCATAAACCATCACTTTAAAATGTAGATACAACCAGACCAGTCAAAGATGTTTTTGTTTGGTGCATAATTGATAACCACTTTCTCATGCTGTCATCTTTATCTCTGCCATGCAGAGAATATTTACCCCACAGCATTTAGGTAAAACACACTCAGGGCAGGATAGGAGAAAATCACCTGGCAGTGCTTTCCAGGAATGAGGAAACCCTGGCTTTTGAATCTCAGTATCTGTTTCCATTTGTCTAGGGAAAGCTCAGGGAAATTAGAAATGGAGTGTGTCACTGTGACTAAAGAAGCTGATACACCTACTACATTCAAGTTCTTCTTGTTGTATCCACCAATAAGGAAGATCTCATTTTCACAGACTTCAGCTATTAGCATGTTGCTGCATGTCTTAGCAAGAATGGCTCTCTCCTCCCTTCCCACCAGGGTTAGTTGTTTTGTTCCAAATATTATCTGCAAGAGTGAAAAAAACAGGTCACTGCATCTCCTGCAACATACGTCCTCTCTTAGCAGGATCCTCTTGACCTCAGTCAGCATTGTCAGGTAGCTACTCAGTAAGGCTGGGGACACATTTGAGCCACTCAGCCTCACAAGCAGGCTTCTCCGCATCACATCCGAGCCTCAGAACAGCATGAAGCCATCACTGTCCTTTCCACCCCATGCTGTTGTGCCCATCATCTTGGTGCTCCAAAAGTTCTGCCTGAGATAGCCAGTCTCATACAATTCATCTTCCGCTCTGTTTAAAAACAGGAACAAGTATGGGTTTAGAGTAAAACCCGTGCATGTTCAACTGGACACAGAGACAGCCTGTTGTTTGGGATCTTCAAGACCAGGCGCAGGTGTAGTTTCATTGAATGACAGCTGGAGAGCTATCACGACACAAAGGATGTGACTTACCCAAATCACTTACATTTAATTAGTTATTTGGGAAAATGCATGGGAATAGCACAAAAAATATTACCATACCTTCAACAGTGCGTCTGGTAGAAATGCAATCTTTAACACAGGGCCTTTAACATGATGAAAGGTGTAAAGAGGAGCCAAAGCAAAGAACAGCCTGATTTTCTCAGCCAGGTGTGGCATGCTTGAAAATGCTATGAAACCTGAAAAACAGCAAGAGATCATAACAATAACCCCAGCAGCAACAATAGTGCCATATATGTCAAAATGCCTAGTTTGACTGAGGATATCTCTGACCCGGGATCTTGTTGAATTTTTTTTTTTTTTTTGTTAGAAAATGATCCTTCAGAAGGAGATTTGACTAGCAGCTCAGAGCTGGGATAGGTGGGAACAGGTGATCTTTTCCTCTGAACAAACAAACTTCTGCTGGAAGAGAAGGGGGAGGGGAGCATATCTAAAGCTAGAATAAGGCATAACACATAGTAAACTCTTTGCACATCCAGCTCCTTGTTCCCACTCACCCAGAGAGTTGCCCTGAGCATGGCCAATGTAGAAAAGCTTCTCCTGCCCAGTGTGCTGCAGGATGAAATTCACCATGGCTGGGACATCATATATGGCCATCTCATGGAAGCTGGAAAGCAAAAGAGGGGCTGGAGAGGATGCCCATTTCCCACTCTTCAGCTGTTCGCAACCTCCCAAGGATTTGGGGTGGGTAACACCAGCAGCCCTGATTCCTGGCCCAATCCTCATGCTCTTCCTCACCTGAAGTCCCAAAACTCCTCCTGGTCAACAGAGAGGTTCAGGTGCCGTCGGGACCAGCTGTTGCCCCGGCAGTTTCCAATCCATACATCATATCCTGCATCCGCCAGGATGAAGCCCAGGCTGCTATCAGGGAGATTGTCCACCCAGTCACCACCATCTAAGCTGAACCCATGCACTATCAGCACAGGTGACCTGGATCCTGAATGAGAAGAAATCAGATACTTTACACAAGAAAATCCCTTCCTCGATGGAAAAAAAATATCCTCATGGATCTCAGTGAATATTTGAGATCTCTGCCTCTGAGATGTCAGGAAACCCTGATCCAGGACTGAGGGTTTGCCCCAGGAAAGTATGTTTTGTACAACTTTCCTCCTGTGCATAGTCTTGTTTCTGAACAGGTTCATAACTATGCTATTTGCCTGGTGAAATCAACCTCACCTGAGTCCCCAGTTGCCTCTGCCATGGGGAATCCGGTTCACACTGAGGAAATAGCCGTCCTCAGTCAGCACATCGTACTCCTCACTGGGGTACCCTTGGAAGTGGATCTTCTCACTCTGCAGGGACAGAAGGGCAATGGAAGAGGTGACCTACTGCTGTCCAGCATGCTGAGGCTGACATGGCCGCAATGTGCCATCATGGCCTGGTGTCACCTTCACATGCACCAGCAGAGCCATCTATTCTGGAGAACCACCAGAGAGTAGCCAACTTCATGCAGAAGGCATGAAGTGAGAGATACCAGCAGAAAAATCAGAAAAACTTGTTTCTGGCCACATCTCATGCCCTCCCCAACAAGGCTGACCGCAGGCAGAGAACAGGGTACCTTGGGGAGGACTCTTTCCTGAAGCACTTACAATGTTCATGAACTGCTCGGGGTTTTCATGGCTCAGTTCTCCACGTGGGATGGCATCAGCCAGCTCCTGGGCCAGGCCCAGGGCCACCAACAGCAGCCACATCTCTCTGTCACACCTAGGGGACAGTGGGTCTGGTGTGAACAAGATGGAGTACTAGGGGCACCGCCAAACATTGCCTGAGTGTCCCCAGGGGATGAAGGGGGCATGTGAGAGCAGGAGGCCACCGCCACAGCCATCATGACTGACTAGGGTCTCTGCACCTAAATGTGGCCATGCTGATGTAGAATGTCGTCAGCATAATCTGGGGGCCACATCCATTAATGCTAGCTAGTACCCAGCTTTGTGCAATGTGCATTAGTGTGTTGGTGTTGCTTCTCACCAAAACCCAGGTTTCAGTGCTTCCCAATCCAGGCCCTGTCTAGGGAAGTCAAAGACAGACCATATTACTGAAATAGCTACCTCAGCAAGCAGCACAGGTCATAAGGAGCGAGAAGCCTGGCCTGCATAGAAATTAGCAGATGTCAGACGAGTCATCCTTCCACAGGTTATAACAATAATCTTCTCAGCACTATTGTCCTGTTGCAAAACTTATCCCAGATTTTCATTCCAATTGCGTTTTCCTGCTGCACACCCTTCTTAGGAAACAGTTTCTTTCCCTTGTTGGGGTGGACAGAATTGTTTGTATTCAACTTTCTGTAGCATTTACTTATAAAAATAGTAAAATGTGGCAGTGAATGAGAAGCAATGCTAACCCCTTGTCCGTTGAATTTGAGGTACTGCAACAACATAACTTATTTACCTTTAAATTATGATTTTTTTTTTTTTTGTAGCCATTGACATTAAGATGGCATAAACTGCCAAAGACCAGCAAGGCTGTGTCAGAGATGCTGTGCCAAGAGAGCCTGCTTTTCTGCATTTGTCAGAAAGATTTCCTTGCCTGTCCAGAAGAGCTGTAAGCCCTGCACTGCCTTTAGCCAGCCAGTCTGAGGCTGATGAAGAAGAAGTAGGTGCTGTAATGAGGAACTTGTGCGGGGGATTCAGACTGCATGCAAGAGTGTAGGACATGCAAGCTGCCTTTGGACAAGGTAACAAGGAAAGAGGGATCTACATTTTGGTTTTCAAGGCTTGGCTGTACACAGGGTGATCTGATCTAACGCAGGGGATGGTCCCACTTGTAGTACTTGGACCAAAGACTTGCAGAAGTCCCCTCTAAAATGCAGCAGCCCATCCCCTCACCCAGCTGAGCAGTGGGCTCTGTCGGTAGGAAGAAGCACTAAGATGTTGCATACAACCTGGAGGACGTGACTGAAGGCTCTGCTGTCCAAGTCAACATCATTTAAATATTGCAATGGCACACCTCAATAGCCCAGACCTAGAACAAGCTCTGACTCAAAGCCCACAAGTGTCAGTGAGAGCACTGGCATTTAGTCATTTACCCATTTATGTTTAGTAACTTGTCCTGCTATCCCAAGAGATCAAACCTTTGTGCCAAAGGAGGAAGGAAAGAGATTAGACACTGTAGCATTCAGCATGTTCATTAATAGGCAGTAGGGTTTCAGAATACATACAGGGTAAGATCACATACAGCCCAAATGAAATGATGGTCCACATCTCCTGCATGCAAGACATCTAAGTTTCATCAGTACTCCTGGAAAATACCGCAGGTACTTGGTGCATTCCAGAGCCAGCCTGCAGCAGGGCATCCCCTGCTTCCACCAGCAGAGCACTCCCATCAGATCCCATTTCATCTTCTTTGGAGGTTCTGCGGCATCTTATAGCACCTCTGAGCTCAGACCCCAGGTATTGAGGGTCCATTAACCCAGTCCTGCCAGTGTTTATCCCCCCGCACTAAACAAAGGAGTCTACTAGAAAACACCAACAACCCACACATTTGACAAAAGTCCAGCAGTGCCTTTCTTAGAGGAGAGACCATACCACAAGCAGGATCCAACAAAGCCAAAGCTATCGACGTGGAGACACACACATGACCTCAGAAGGGACATAGAATCAGAAAAATGTCCAACCAGAGCCATGAGGTTTGCACTACTCCCTGAGCTCACTGCAGCAGAGCTGATGCTCACAAAACCCTCACTGCTCAGATGCACAACTGCAAAGCAGACTCTCTAGAGGAAATTACTACAGAGACCAAAATGCTCAAGCTCTTGATGCGTGTCTCTAGAAGCAGAAGTGAATAGCAGGAGCAACAAAGAACACCTTTTGACTCCGTTGGAAACATTTCTTTCAGTAACAGCATGAGCTAGAAGGAAAGTACACAATTCAGCTCAACCTGACCTTCTGCTCCAGGCCCGTCCGTGCAGTTGGGAAGGACAATGACACCAAGTGAGCCAGTTACCTTGGCTTATAAAGGCACACACAGAGGCTGAGGTTTGTCCATCAAGGACACAAAACCTGACCTCTCTGCAATGATGCTGCTTGCTCTTCCTCTCCAGGATAATTCAGGAAGGGTGTCCTGAACCTCAAAGAGGGCAAGAGCAAAGCAATGCATCTTGAAAGGAGATAACGAATTGTTGGGTAACAAGCATGTCATCCAGAATATCCACATCTGACAACTGCATTTTTTTCCCTACCTCTGCATGTGGATTGCAGCCTCCTCTTCTGTAATCTGAAGGGCAGCATGATAAAAAAAAAAAAGCGCTTATCACTTTTTTGGTGTTGTATCACCACCTTTTCTTAGCATATTTCTTTGTCAAAGTGAAATGACTCTGGCTTGGATGAACCCACGCTTACTGTGGTTTTCATCGGCAGAATTATTGTTTTATTACTAGTTTTCCTAAATTGAAACACTTGTGTGAAATAGCAGGATGTGGCACTAGCAAGAGCTTTGTTTAATTACAGGTCCTTTTCCCCACAGTCAACCAAGGTCCTGGAGGAAGTGGGCTGGTTTTGTAACACGTGGTTTCTTGGAGCACAAATGTCAGGACTCAGACCGGGGCTGGCAGCAGTCTGAGCAATCTGAACTGCAGAGTTTATTTACCTGCAAGCTTGTTTTGTAGTCTTTTTCCAAACTCTGTTACAGTGGCTTGTGCAAACTAGAGCATGTATCGCCAGTACTTGTGGTGGATAGAGCAAATTCAGCAGAGTGTGTTTAGCACAAGATGTACAGATTATTTGCAGGAACTTGGACACCTACGAACACCTCTGCCCATGACTTCACTGCCCTCTGCTTTCCTACTCAGTCCATATGGCCACATTTACAGCCTCTCCTGCATAGAGAATGACTACATGCTGCTGGCAAAATACCAAGCTAGGAATACCAATGCAAGGGAGCCCTACCCTCAAATAAACTTCCAAGAAGCAAGTCCAAGCAGGCTTGGACTTGGACCTGACAAAGCAGGAAAGGAGAGTTAAAAAAATGTTGAGAAGTGCCATATGGTTAAATAATGTTTGATTATCAAATTGATCATCCAAGGCTCCTTTTATGCAAGACATTGTTACCTTGCACTGAAAATCTTCACCAGAGTTACCCAAGAAGCATGTAGATACAAGTAAAAGGTTAAGAAGTGTCATGGAAAGCCATTGGCATGCAATTGCTGGAGCATAAGATATTTGAGATGTTACTGGATATCAAGAAGAAGAAGCTTTTGCAACAGCTTCCCATGTGGGGCAAGCTGCTTCTGTAGAGAGCAAAGAGTCTAATGACTTCTAATGATCCTACAGTGTAACAGGAATGGTATTTCCTGTCTCAATACCTCTCAAATGTTGTCCCAAGAAAGGTCATCATAACGAACCACCTTTTGCCCAGTGACCTGCAGGATAAGATCAGCAGTTGGTGAAAGGCCCAGAAATACATCTAGATTTTAGGGAAAAATCTTAGTAAATGCAATTAAGCAATGGAACAGGTCCTGGATTGCTGGAATGTTAATTTCTGAAAATGCTTAAAACTGAACAGGACAAAGCAAAGATTAGGAGTAGCCTAATCTGGCTAGAAAATTGTCCTGCTTTGAGACTAGCTGGAGACCTACAGGGGTCTGTTCCACCTAACCTGTGGATGGCTGAACAGCAGAAAAACAGCAGGAGGTACTCCCCAAGTCATGATCGACCCACAAGTCACTGGACCAAAAGACCACGGATGAGCAAGCCTCTGAGCAGAAGCTTTGGTGGGACACCACAGATGAGTGTGTCAGGAGCTTTGCAAGGTGGGGACATCTCTGTGCACAGAGGGTTCTGTCCAGACATCATCCAGGGGGACAGGACCAGAGATGCTGTTTTTACTCTGAACGGTCTGTAGAAATGAAACTAAAGAGAGAAGGGCTATGAGGCCAGAGTAGAGGGATCGGGTGCATTACCTGTGAACCTGTGAATGGGTTTCCCATTTGCCTTTTCTCCTGAGATCGTCTGCACCTGTCAGTGACTGTGCAGATAAAACATTACATTTTGTCTTCTCTCTCCATAGACTGCAGGAATTTCTTCCTTCAAGCATACAATCTGAGTAATACTGTGTGTGTCTGGTGGGGCTCTGCACACTCATCAATATCTGATAGTGTTTCAGGTCATTCAAAAGTGGTGATCATTCCTCAGGTCATTCAAAAGTGGTGATCATTCCTCACAGCTCCCCAAATCCTGCAGGGCAGCCTAAGGTGCCCATGTCTGCTGAGACCTACATTTGATTCATGGATGGTATCACTCTTGAATTCCATGTCTTCTGCCCTTGGCCCCATTCCCATGCTGGCTCATCATAAAGCCTCAAAAGAGCTCATCTTAACATTTCTTTCTAAAGTTTCAGAAGTCTCCAGAAGCCTGTGTAGGGCAGGGAGATCCCTTTCACTAGAGACTGGTCCAGTGAGGGTCCATTACAACCCATCTATTTTAATAAGATTCTCTAGCACCAGGTCCAAAGGATGCTGCCTTCTTTTGTATTAAGACCAACAAGAGTAACACTAAAGAAGGGGCTGGACAGCTAAGACAGGTCAGCACTTGGATGAGATGCTGGAAAGCACCTACAGGAACAAGTGTCCTTGGCATGCTGCTCATTAGGAAGGATCTCTTGGAACCCTGGAGCTGGTATCAAAGTTGGT